GGGACCGCGTGATCCTCACTGTGCCTGGTCGGAGACACTACAAGATATGGCTGCCAACCGATGTCAGTGGCGTTCTCGTTGTCAGTTTCTGTCCAGATTGCCTGAGTGAATGTCTGGAGGTGTAGGCACCTCTTTACAATGAGGCTTTCAAATAAATCATGGTTGTACGGCAGTGAAGCATCAGTGTTGAACACTGATGTCATGCTGTCGATGATGATGATGATAATTGCGTAAAATATAGGGGTGAAATATGAGGATGACACCCTTCGAACGTTTTTCGGCTGTCCTGGTCTGTAATCGGTTACTTCTTCCGTGTATGAATGGACGGAAATGTCCCTAATAACAGTCTCCTCATAATAATAATAAAAGTCTCCTCATAATAGTGGTCGACCGCGTATGTTTAGCAATGCCCAGAAATTAGACGGTGACTTCGCTTTCATATGATTTCTTATCATGAGGTTAGAAACGAGCGTGACCTTCCACTGCTAATCGAATTACTAAGAAACTACGCGCACGTATCAAAATCAAACAGAACTAACTTGTTTTCATCCGATTTGACCGCTGCCTCTTTGTCATGGTACTTAATCTCAGCTCCCCCGACTTTATTTGCGTCAGTCGATTGGTTTGGTTGTGATGGCCTAATGCAAACTTTGCCCCTGATGCGCATCGTTTGCAGTTTTAAGGTAGGTTTTCTTCTGTTACTGAGACAGACGGTGTACGATAACACTTCTGCATGATCCCATTACAACCTCATCGACTTATATTAGCAGGTGATAAATGGCTTCAACCAAACCCAGGATTTTCGTTGATCCTAACTGCAGAAGCATAGTCAGGGATAGGCTAGGCTTGTAGAACTGCCTGCTCCGTTTAAAAACTGGTGGACCGAGTTCTGAATAAATAGCTTAACCAAACGGTGTAAGGGTGGCGGAGCAAGGTGATGATACATCGTTGCATCTTCGGAACCGTGACAACTGTAGTCGTGTTTTATTTTAAATTTCCCTATTCTGGTTTGCACCCTGAAAAAGTACATGCCATTCTGGCATAACCTTTATTCTTGGTTGTTGAACGGTAGGCTGTTGTGTTGCCTGATATTATTAATTTCGTTGTGTTTATGTTATTTTCGCAACGTCCCGGAAGAGTATTTTCATGGGGAACGTAGATTTTTCTTCCTGCACATAAAAGATTAGTTTAATGGATAAACTGGCGTCTTTAAGCTGAGTTTCTGACGTCTGCTCCTTATTCTGGTGGGAACTGAATGTGTCCCTTACGGCTAGCACATCCATTGGGGTCTGCGACGTCCCAGGATATGGATGTTCTCGTGTTGTATTTTGATGGTTATGGAACCCAATATAGGATTCGGAATTATGGCAGAAATTTGTTGAGATACTACACCCAATGATGTGAAAACCAGAATTCCCCGCGTTTCAGGGTACGGTCAGAAGATACACTGGTACCGAAATATCGGATGAATTAACTACAAGCTACTTACGACACTCCAGTAGCCGAACGAGTAAATCATTCTGGACACTCATTGTTGAGTATGACAGCTGTAGGTTTTTCTTCCTTGTGACGAGGTAAGAGGTTACCGCGACGGCGTGGTAAGGGGTATTTGCTTGTAAGTGAGATTTTTGAACTGGCCTGGACCAAATATCGCAACTTTGCTTGGCGTTATTCAGCTGAACAATCCGCCTCGCTACCTACGAAATTGATGTATTCGTCGATTACACGAAATGTAAAACAACTCCCTATTCAGTCTGCTGGAAGAAACATTTGTGACCAGGTTTTTCCCGTGGTGTATTGTGGTGTCACTGTAAACTGGTATGCTGAGTTTCACGCGGGAAACTACTATGGTGTCATTATATTACCCGCTGTCGACACTAGTATCCTGTTATCGCACTGGCTGGGTTTATTGAACGCTGGATGCTATATTGTCACGAGTAAACAAAGCGAAAAATGGATACTCGTACCCTCATCAGTTTGGAATAAAGATATCTTCGGGAATCGCTTTGAGTGAGAGAAATACCAGCAAGTGCCACCATGCTCTGGGTGTCCATAGTTGCCACGTAGGCATTTGGCAAGGCGGGGCCACCTTGTAAAGCAAAACAAATGTAATCGGAGTGTGTGTGTATTGGTATAGGCGTAATTCTAGACCGAAGCATATGGCTGAGATTATAAGATTCTAGATATGTTTATGCGGTTCGTATAATTTAGTGACCATTTTTTATAAGACCATCGGTGTCCTGTGGTTTTGTATAAGCTTCCGGTGTGGACAGTAAAATACGATAAGTGTTCTTCCACACCAGAAAAAAAGCTATTGCTTCGACTTATTGTCGAGGCTTTAAGTGTTGCACGAAGTCGGGACATACTGTCGTGTGTATTTCACTTCGAAATACATGGCAAACTAGAAAGTTTGTCCCTTTGAACACAACCCTCATTTGGTCGTCTCAGCCAGCCAGATGTCTTGAGATCGAAAACCACGTTTATGAAGAAATTATATGCGGTTTACCCCCAAGGAGCCGTTGCTCAAATGCGTTACAATAACTAGAACTGAAACGTGCATCCGAAAATAACCAAAAATTTTACTGAAGTGGTGTTCGCTCAAGGTAATCCTGGTGTTCCTTGTAGATGCAATGCAAAGTTACACTTCTGTGGGAAGCTTTTCTCCTAGCACTAAACGGTTTTGGAGAAGATGTAGGTGTAAATGGAAGAACTATCGTAAATTTTATTGTATCACATTCAATCGGAAGTCGCACACTTGAACAAACCACACATGCCAGTTTAACAGCATAGCACACTGAGCAGACCGAGACCGAAAAATTGGTAACCCTGGGAACGCAACTATACAAGAAATGTTTTTTCCATGATTTGCTGAGCTTCAGCGGAAACACAAAATATTTGAACTTTTTAGTACCTTTAGCTTAATCACAATAGTGTGCATGGTGGTAAAGAATGAAAGCCATCGGTCCGTACGATTTCAGCTAGGGCCCACAACAAGCAACCAGCTAAGGTCAAATGGGAAGGTGGATTATCCGTCACGGAAGAGTACTCTGGTTAAGCTGGCATAATAGTAAAAGGCATATAAGCATTGAGTTGTTGTACGTTATGAATTTAAGCATCAATACAAAGGACTGAAGCGTGTGTCCAAGCATTGATGATATCACTGGAAAGAGAGCTGGCGCGTTTTGAAACATTTTAAGGGGATTGTCGTAGATACCAAGTTATCGGGAGGATTAACCATCAGCTGCTTACAGTGTTTTGGTAGATAAACGTGATGCTGATTATTCCTGATCTTTTCGTATTATTAGATCAACACCAGCTTGTTGCAACAAGGAAAGCTATTGCATCAACATGGCACAAGCTTATTTGTACGTCAATGAAAATTATCAAACGGTACCGACCAAATGTTACACTTCTTTTCGGTGTTGCCGGGCTGCGGAAATTCGTCGCTCTCTATCGTTGGACACCTGTATTCTAATTTAGCTTGTTCGTCGACTACACAAAACGCGATATTCTTCCCCTTTCATACACTTTCGGGAAAACAGGACAACAACCAAGTTTTTGTTAGTGAATTTGACATTGGTGACGATCATGAAGTTTCCGATACGGAAATTTGGGTCACATGTAGGTGCGATGACCCCGGAAATCGAAAGGAAGAAAGGGGTCCTTAAGT